CCTCCTATTGGATAATGAGTTAGCCATCATTAATGATGGCCAACTCATTATCCAATAGGAGAGAGACACCTCACTTGTCCCCTCTATTGGTCCCATATTTTGGGTCCTTGAGGAATTTTTCTACATAAAAAGATGCAATAATCCTAAGCCATACCACAACTTTAAGGAAGAAATCCTGCACTATATTAGCATCTCTCATTATCATTTACCATAGTGGGTGGCCGACCGCGCTAAAATTAAGATGAAAACTAACAAGGACCACAAGATTAAGCTCATTTTAAAAAGTTGCAACAGGCAAGAACAAGATTGCTGCTCCTTCACAAGGTACAGAAGTAATAAAGAAGACGGTGAGGCGTGCAATGAATAAATCAACTAAAAGAGCAAGCTCATGGACAAACAACTTCAGTCCTTCAAAGCGCCAATGTATGTGACGAACCCTAAAAGTAGTAGCATCTACTACATGTACACATCAAATGGACAAATAAAGGAAGAAAAAGATCACAACCTCGAGTCTCAAAGATCATGTTGAAAGCAGCCGTATAAACGAAGACAAGAAAAAGATAAACATAAACATATATGATATACATAGAAAGGAAAAGAATAGTAACACGTCCAATCGCTGAAGATCCAGAGGCACACTAATGGAAACCTCTTAACAAGTCTTCGGACAGCAACCTTCTTGATGTTGTTGGGGCTGGGGGAGCCAGCCCAGGTATATCTCTGATGTTCTTGTTATTTGGATGTACAATCTAATAAAAAAACAAAGAGACGTTAGAGCAAATTTTGTGAGGAGAAGGGTATGTGCATGTGAGAAGGAACAAGAGCTAACCTTGACGACAATGATTGCAATCACACCACAAACTATTATAAATAGAAAGAACATGATGAATCTATCGCAGGCCACCTGAAAGGCATTGGGACATTGGGTCGTCGTGACAAATTCTTCGGGATGAGATAAATTGAAATATACTGCAAGAATTAAGCCAGGATGCTGCTACTGACCTGTCTACCAATCTCCTTCACAAGCTGAGTGGCCTTTTTGATAGAAAAGTGCACTGTATCCAGATCATTAACGATGCGGCCCATTTGGTCAGTCTGCAGATATTTTTTAAAGGATTAGAAGCTCTAGAAATAGAAATAAGCAGAGAACAGAGATGTTTCTCAACACTATCATCATTAACAAGGCTTTCTAAGAAACCTAAGGAAGGCCTAAATTTAAATTTCAACTCATCTACAGTCGGTGCTAAAGCATAAGATGATGCAACATTACTGGATTCCACAGCTCCTAAGTTGTAGAACAGTTCGTTAAAAGATAATAGTGGAAACTCGAGAGCTTATGAAAAATCCAAGAATTTTGTAAAAAAAAGTAATACAAGCCAAAGCCTTAGTAGAACCCAGCCAAGAAAATCACAGGATCCAATGCCCCTTAACTGAGGTAGGACTAATTGAAGTAGTATTTTAGACAGCATCGTAAGAAAAAGGCTGAATTTGTTTTTCTTCAAGAAAAGTGACTAGGCTAGGAAGTTGAGCATCACCTACGAAGATCTACAATGAGTAAATTAGGTATGATGGCGTCCACTTACTTGGCCCTTCAATGTCGTAGCAGTTTGAGTTCCTACTTCAACAGTTTGCTCCACAACCTAACAGGTAACACAATTAGATTGATACAAGGGGAAAAATAAACAAGAACTTTCACAAGGTTAGAAGAATACTATTTTTGAACGCTCAATAGCTTGGTCAGTCTCATCCAGAGTCTTCCTTCCAGCATTTACAAGTTCCTGATTAGACATTGCTGTACGAGAAAACAGTATTTAGCTCCCAAATGAATCAATTCTCAAGTTGTTATAAATCCCTCAAGCTTGTCAAAAGATTTGACTTGACAAGGAGGGTTTCCAATTGGAAGTAAAAAGAATAAAACAGAAGTGATGAAGAAAACTCTCTGCAATCAGCTTAGAATATTTCGCCAAATGCAGCCATGTCCAATGCAAGTACATGACTAAAGAATGAAACAGGTACTGCATTACAGAAACACCAAATATAACTTTCAAAGAAATAATTGTGCTAAAGAAGGCTAACAACATCATGAGAAATGCATAATGCTACACCTTAACGGTGTTTTCTAAATGTGAAACAGTAAAGAATATTTGAAAACAGACAACCCTTTCCTTAATAAACCAAGTATTAAGTATTTTGTGAAGAAGACCATGATCAACAGACCTTATCTGCTCAAGATCACGCATAAATAACCCTTTTTCATGCATTCATATAACCAAGTAAAAACATTTACTAAAGTACACTAATAATACATTAATAATTGACCTCAAGGCACTATTTATATTATGAGTTTATAAACCAAAACTGCTCACCAAATAAATAGATATCAATAGTTACCATCATTTCAGAAGGAAAACCAAATGATTACTGGTGACCGTAGCCACTAAAGCTGATATTTGCTTCTGCACTCTCCGGCATCTCATTAATTCAGTATCTACAACAGATTGGCTTTAAAAGAGATTAAACTAACAGGATTTGTTCATACCTTTCAATTTTGCATTTACACTCAATATACAAACTGATCAATGTTTTACTACAGATCCAGTTATCATCCTGGTTCATACACAAATAACTCCATCCAAAACTTACAACACTCTTAAATATATCAATATCTTCCACTGGGAAGAAACTGCTGTAATTTCTATCGCACGTGATGTGATACAGTATTCTTTCTCACGCTCGCATTCTGAAATCTAATAGTCGTATTAATCACCCGACTTGCATGATAAAAGAAGCTAATAATCTTCTTTCTCCAGGACTCAGTTTTTCAGTGTTTCCAAATTATCAGTCTTCTGTAAGTACCATTAGCATAAATAACTGCCAATATCATTTTGTCATCATATTATTAGCCATCAGTAATATAACAATTTGTTGGAACCCAAACCCATTTAAACATTGGATTTCGTAGTACTTTTGTGTAATAAACTTCTTAATGTTGACATTTGTTTGTCAGATATAGTCTTGGACAAGGTTAACTAACCAAATTTGTCGTCTGAAAAGAGAAAAAAGGAAAACATTTTACAATGACCAGGCCAAATAACTTTATTTTCTAAAGTATAATTTCCCTTATTTACCTATTAAATGCAATAGATGGAAGGACACGGGTGAGATGGAGATGAGTTTGCATTCTATATATATTTCAGATAGCACCATGTATGTGTTTGTAAGATTTATTTATCAAAACTAAATTATTTACTGATGTTTTAATACCAGTTCAGTTTCCACATTGAAGTTGGAAGAGAAACCTATAAGCACAATGTCTGCTTGGAGCTTTGATGGCATTATCATGGTATGAATAATGCAATATTTATCACAATTGGATCAAATAAGAGGATCTGGGAAGAAAGTATAAGCAGCACCACTTATTCTGATGTTTGCTTTTGTTCCCACGTCTCAATGCTTCAGATTTTATATTTCCTACACATCAAATCTAGATAAATGTTACATCAAAATTAGGTCAATAAATCCAGCAAAAAAGATTGTCAAAAGCAGCTTACAAAAATAAGTCGGCAAAGCTACTAAGCAGTAAGCACCAACAAATCAATAAAAGAATCTGTGATTTATTGACGTGAATCAGAGGGATCAAATACTATGAGCTAAGTCAGAAGGGGATGGATTTTTTTCATTGGAGATTTTCTATGCAATTTATTGACCAGACCATGTGAATGTACTCCAATACAACTATGATAACTTCTGTCCACATCAACCATCATCTGCTCTCGTGCAGTCAGTATATGAAGATCCATGTGCCCATATTGACCCATAACTCAAAAGTTTCCATGTTTCTATAGTGCATTGGTACTTCAAATTCAATCACTTGTTTCTCTTCAACCCAAACAATTTCTTGAGCAGTTCCAAGTTATATCCATGTGCAACGATGCATTACAAATTTGTTCCCGCTTTACATATAAATTCTCTCAATGTATTTATCCACACTTCCAATTCCACAAACAGTATGCGCACCATCTTTTGCTCAGTTACATTCAATATCCATGGCATAACTTCCCTGTAAATACCAAAGTTAATTTGCCTAAGTATCAATCGATGAATGTAGGGAACATTCAGGTTTCGAAATCAATTTGGGCACATGAACCTCCTTATTCATGATTCCTTGAAGGCTGTGACACCTGAAAAATAAATATATTCAACTCTTTCACACGACATATTCACAAGTATTGTTCAACGATGTTATTATAACCGTTGTCTTTCACACCCTCAATAGATCACATCTGTTCACAAATCCAAAGCATTCAACTGCTTCTCTTTCAATTATTGTAATTCAAAAATCCTAACAATCCTTCAATATACTTTCTTCAAAATAAAATGAGGAAATATTAGGCGGTGTACATAAGAAAGCTATTTTTTCAAAGCTGGTGTATAAATGAAGAAGAAAGTATCACCTGAAGCCATTTGTACATTGTCCTCAGCTGCAGGATCACTACCTCCAGCACCCATATCAAAGAGTTCAACCCTTTTATTACCGAGACTACTCGTGTACCTGCACGTCACGATATTGCACATGTCAGTTATTAAGCATCAAATAAGATCAAGAAGAATACACAACAAGACGAGTTCCTAGATAAGGTAACAACTGCTTCCATATGAAACGGGACCGCTATCTATTCTCCAAAACAATGGCCATTAAAAAGTGTCGACTATGATTGAACATATTCCTCTTTGCAGAATCTGTGAGTTTATTGATCTCTTACTTCCTTTCTTGTCCCTCCGAGATTCATAAATTACATATACTAAAGGAGTCACAAAAGAAAATAGGTGCATTCATTTTGATTTATGCAATTACAATCAAGAGGAACTATTCTTTCTCAACAACAAATTAAACTTACGTCTTTCTCAGGGCCACATATGAGTTCAGTTCTTTGATCTGCAGCAAGAAAACTGAACATATAATATATGAAAATAGTGATACTACACAAAGAGGCAAACAAAAAACCAAATCATACCATTGATTGCTTTTTCTCATTAAGCTGCTTATTGATCTCTGGAGGATTTCGACTCTCCTCGTCTTTAATTTGACGATCAAACTCTTTAATCAGCCTGCAAAATAGGAAGCAGGTTAAAGTTCAATAACATGAGATGACCAACAGCTTTCTGAAGCTGTGGAGAATCAGGAAATTTACAATTAGTAGATAATCTGCAAACAAACTCTAAAAAAATAGTTTTTGCTGCCAGGTAAGTTACTATTATCAAGGGATGAGTAGGAATCTGTATACAATGTCCCTCAAAACATTATGTAGCCTGTAGAGTTCCTCTTACAATAAAGTGGAAAAAGAAAAGATGGATGTAACACCTCTTACACTCCCTCATTTTCCCCGTGAGTTCCTCCAGCTGCTTAGTCTGTCGATTAGGATCTTTGATCTTATCCATTTTTTGAAATCCATTTCTGCGTAAAAAATAGCATAATACAAATTATTTTTATTAGATAATCAGAATAAGTTGGTGCTGCAACACATCCAATGCAATGTTATGAATAATAATCGCAATAACTATGAGCATGTCAGCCAACTTGGTCAAAGTGGATCATAACTCACTTTGCACGTTTAGTAACCAAATTTTAAGTGGAATATTTTGGATTATAATACATGAAAAAATAGCCTAGGTTTCCAAGGTTATTTAATCCATATGTTTGACCAAGAAAATGACAAAAAAGGCCCAAGTTTCTGCATCACTTCCTTTCCCCTTCTCTCCTTCGACTTGTAAGGGGTTTCGGTCAATTTACCCTCTTTACCAAACACCTAAAATTCTAATCCACTAGGGTACTTATAATCCACCAATGGATTATAACTAGTGGATTATAACCTAGGATTGCCAAAACATGCTATATGACCAACAAGCAAAAATTATATTATATACCAAAACAAATCCCTCCGTTGTCACTTGGCAACTACTTAGAACTTTGGATGTCCAAGTTTATTTTGCTGACAATTCAAATAAATGAAATATATGCTAATGATGGTAATATGAAAAGCATAAACAATTAACTTTCAAATTTCTCCATGCTAAATATTTACTTTTCCACAGCTTATTTTCTTCTTCTCTCTCCTTCTCTCAAGATTGCGTTAAGTTCCAAATTAATAAGTTTTACAATTATTATGTTAACAATAATTTTATTGTATACTATTTAGAGTGAAAGTGAAAGCAATATACAACTATCAAAAACATAGTATTGCAATATAATTGTTACAACAATGTTGCAATACTAAGTCCCATACATTGAATAGGGAAGAATCTAGCAAC